GTTTTAACTATATTGAGAGATAATACAATCTGTAACAAATAAGGAAATTTATTATTTATAGTCTTCAGAGAGCACATTCACGCTCTATTACCAATGAATAATACAGAAAAAACAATAATACTAAAAGTGAATGTATATAAACTAAATCAAACAAAAAGAAACTAAACTAATAAAAACAACTACTCAAATAGTATTTTAGTTTCAAGATTATTTAGAGAGTGCAACCACTGGGTAGTAACTCTTCAAGCCTGTACATGCCATTATTTATATTTGCGCATATTTACTAGTTGTATTTGTATACAGTTGTAAATTCCATTAAATAAACAAAAAAAAAAAGATTAATATTTTTTTCTAAACAACAAGAAACCACTCGAAAATTTTTCTAGTTTATGCGGACATTGTTTTAGATAAGTGTATACATTTTAATCATTATATAGATAAAAATGATTTGCCATTGACAAAGTGTATTATGTTTACAAAAAAACATTAACTTTTTTGTATTTATGATATTTACAACTACATTAAATTAAAAATACATCTAGTAAATGTGAACACAGGAATGACACAATCAAATGAAAACGCTTGTTGAGAAACTACCCATTGGTAGCACTCAAATATTATATTTAAATAAGTAAATCACGAGGCCATCTTCTTTTCAGATGCCTTGGAGGGTTATCGGGTATTGAAGATGAAGAAAGGTTTGAAACGAGAAGAATTGGATGCTTTTGAAGTTTGTTATGGAAGGGTAGGTGGAGGGTAGGATTGGGAAACATAAGGCACATTAAGATCGTTATGGGTGATTTTATTTGTGACAAACTAAGGAGCATTGAGGATTTTGGATTATAAGGATTGGATACGAGAGGTATTCGATGGTTTAGTGGAGCCCAAAGCTCAATTCCGTGAGCCCAAATTCGTCATATACATTATAGTCATGTATATGAGTCTTTCGTAACATATTGAATGTTTAGAGCGTTTGTCTACTAGGTGCTGGAATAGTCGAAAACCTAAGGCAGTTTCTTGCCGTTTCAGTCTTGTATGGGGATTCAAAGTGATTCCTTCAATTCGAAGAAGACAAAGACAAGTTTGTCCAGATGGGGTCTTAGGTATCGGATTTGTTCAACAGGGATAAGTGGGAAATTGCTAAAGGATACTGTAGGATAGGAAGTCATAGGTTTATGACAAAGAGTAAAGGTAATTTGATGGGATTTATTGGAATTAATTTTAATTCTCCAGTTTTGACAGCATTCTTCAATGGCTGAAATATGTGATTGAATTGATTATGTATAAGGATGTAAGAACCGGCACGGGAAGTGTCAGGATGTTGAGATCTATAAGTGATGTAGTCACGTATGAAGAATTTTGCCAATGAATGAAGTGCGTTTCAGTCAGTAGAGCGACCTCAATATAATTGTCATGAAGAAATATCTCAAGTTCGTCACGGTGGTTATGTAGTCCATAAACGTTCCATAAAAGGATAGCTAGGGGATTTGCCCTCATCGGTGAAAATCAAACGGGATTCTGGTCAGGATTCTGGTGAGAAGGGAGATAAGAGGTTTTATAGTATGTTGTAAATCTGATAGGAAGGATGTAAGGATAGTAGTTATGTTGGTTATAAAGTGGATTTGGATTAGAATGTTGTGGTTATGAGTGTTAGCTGAAGGCAGGTTCGTTGTACAAAAAAACTTAAATTGCTAATGTAAATATTTAATTTAAAAAATTTTATTTAGTAGTATAACATTCTGCAACAATCAGAACACTGACCTGAATAACAAGAGCTTGAGATTTGTTATTATTGTAGTCAGTAACCCTTGCCTTGTTGGTTACCCACATGCTTGGGTAAAATGTTGGTACACTTAAGCGACTGCATATTCTGATTATTTGTCATTCTCATCATTTTAGCGCCCAACTATATCTCCATCTTTAAATAAGAACATTATGCATAGTCAGAAATTAGTTTATTCATATCATATAGAAAAAATAAGTAAAACAAATAATTCATAAAAAGTCAAAGTAAAGTAAACCTGATGATAATTAAAGTAATATAACATTTTAAATACCGCCATACTATATACCTTGTTCATAATTAACCAAATGAACTGCGAATCAGGGCTTCTCGCTCTACCTAGATTGGGGAAAACAGAATTCTGGAAGATCTATATTCTAATGAAAATTGATTTTTTTAAATATAATTTTTTTTTTCAATTGTTCAATAAGGTATATTTATCAAGACACACTTTGCCCAAAGGAGTGACGTTCCCAAATCAATGGCTCTTGTCGAAAATGTGGAAGGGTGGTAATACTACAATCTAATTGCTGCCTCGTTTCCACATTACTACCTACCTCCTTTGTAAAGCAGTGGCGACACTTTGTGTTTGTGTCAGGTCACAAGTCACAAAGAGTTGCAAACCTTTGTCCTCTCGTCTTATTCTCGCTTGCCCCCGCATCCGCAAACACCTTCAAAGAACTTGCTGCAAATTACCATGAGAAAGGTCTGTCTTTCTCCATAGGAGTGGTACTTGCCTATTGCATCCAATCATGTGGATATCTAATTATACTGTTCAAAAAATGAAGAACATTGTTATACTTTTATTTTATTTTTGACGTTATTAGTACTGTTTTTGGACATTTTTCAATTTAAAAAAAAGAAAGAAAGAATTATTTGTACTGAAATTCAGTACAAATAATTCCTTATAATAAGTCGTTTTAAAGAGTCAGTCACCCGCTTTATTCTAATGCTTTAACCATATATTTCGTCTAGTTGTGAAAATTAAAAACAAAACTAAATAAATTTTAATATTGATACTGTAATAGTCTTGAAGAATCCAATGGACCCCATAGTATTAAAAACTAAATATTGTTCCTTAAGGGAATCAAAATATTTAATCCAGAGCAAATAAACTTGTATTTTTATATGTTTAAAAATTTTATTTTTATAACTCATAAAAAATGAGCCTGTATCACTGTATAACTTTACTAATAAATTTATTAATGATTTGTAACATCATTCAGTTTGCATTCTTAACATAAATCATATATGCTAATTCTTTTCTGTTTAAATTTAAACATTTTAATTTAAATTAATGATTTAAACTGTGTTTATTGCTTAGTGAGCCTGGTGTTTATTGCTGTTTTTCGAGTTTTCGCTTTTATCAGGAAACATATACATTGCATCGAAAAATACGTTCTGTACAAAATCAAAAATAAAGTTTCAATACTATTAATTATATACCCTTTTCCGTTACCTCGCTTAGTTTCCGAGATATCTGTGCTTAGCTATTACTAATGTGGATAAAAACATTTTTTACCTCAATTTTTTTTCTGTATTTACTAGCTAACTCTTTCTACGATTAAGTCTTGAGAAAGAACGAAAAAAATCTTTTTTTTCACATTAGTGATACCTGAGGACGGAAATCTCGGAAACTAAGCGAGGTAACGGAAAAAGGTATAAAGTCAATCATATTGCAAATTTTATCAGCTTAAATTTTGTATAGAATGTATTTGTCGAAGCGGTGTATAGTTTTCTTGATACAAGCGAAAACCCGAAAAAAAAATGACCTACTAGGCGCCCCATCTCCCACAAGCTCAACACCTATGACTGGGGACTTTTGGTAAGTTTACCTCCTTGCTAGTCCAAACAATGCCCCAAATTCAAAAATTGTGCAGTTGGCTTCCTTCTATACTCCCATTTTGAGCATTCATTGACTGGACTATTTTGTGTTGTATGTATGTAGTTTCGTTATTTATGTCTTAGCAGTAGTTGATCAAATGTTAATATAAAGCGAAAATGGCCAACTTGGTCGAAGAGCCTAAAACATTTATAAATAAATATCGATACTGAGATATTTGTGGAGATCTTTTTTTATTTATCACAGTTGTAATTAAATTTTATTTATTGCATAGTGTTATTCCTCATAATTCAATCGTGCTTCTTCAACAGATTCGTTTCTATCCGACAGCGCTTAAAAATTTCTTCAGGTATAGTGTCTTTGAAGGAGTACCGCAAGGATCGATTTTGGATCCATTACAATACCTTATACATACAATCAACATACCTGAGAATTCTAAGGTGTTATGTCAACGCTAACGATACAACATTTTTTACTAGGCCTAAACTAGTGAATTGTTCTACTGTTACACAATCATGGCCTTACTGGTACGGGAACAGACGACTTCATTTTTATAATATCAAAAAAAAAAAATGTAAAAACTGGCGTAATTAAAAAAAAAATAAATGGGCGATTCGGATTCTCTAGAGATATATCTCAGACTCAAATCTAAAGGAATCTCGTTAGTGGAATAAGAAAAAAAAAAAAAAAAAAAAAAGAAATAGAAGAAAAAAAGGAGGTTAAACCTGAAAGAAAGATAGAATTAATAATAGAACCGATTATCAAACATTTGTAGGGTGCTATTAACTTAATCTTGAATAAATGGAAACGACACGCAATGGTGTATTGTCAACATCTGCAACATATAATTTTGCAGTAAATCTTTTCTTAGTCTCAGTTTTCTCTTTATCGTTAACACAATGTATATTTTTATAGACCAATAAACTTTTCAGAAATATAATTTGACTATTATTTGATACTATTTTTCATTACCAACATTAATTGATAATGTAATTATTAAATTATTAGGATATTTAATAATTGACAGTTTTATTTTGTTTAAATTAATAAATATAATTTAAATGAGTTATAAAATTATGTAAGTACTCAAAAGTATCGTTATTTTCGAGATAGTTGTTAGCTATCTAAAATTATGTCTATTTTATTAAGTTTATGAAAAATAAAGTGAGCTGTTACAGGGTTCTTGTTATTCAACTCTTTTACAATACTTCAAAGTAAACAAGACACAGCAAGACGGTATTTAATTTTCATTCTATATGATACTGATCTTTCGATAATTGGTATCGGAAAGAAAGTAAAGATACAAAAAGTAATTAGCATTGGGAGGAAAGTATCGATACCTTACTCATATCGATCGGTATCGGACAACCCTAGTTATAGTTGCCGGTAAGGGATTGGCACTGACACTCGGACAGGTTCTTGCGCAACATTGTTATTACTCTTGCTGACGAGACCGACGCCATGGTACCGAAGGACGAACATCCAGGAGCACATCCTGCCCGAAGGAAGAGAAGGAAAAAACTGTAGAAAAAGTCTTGAATATAACAGCCTCATTATGTTTCTATTATAACCAGGCCTCATTTGCCTATAAGTGTCAGATTTCCTGGCTATCTACTTAGATCTAAGATTACAGACTACAGAAGAATCTTAAAGACTACTTACCTAGTCTATATGCACCGATACAAAATGCAGCTGTACAAATTCGTTATTGTTCACCTATGTAATCTATTTTCTTCTGTGTCAATGATGAGTCAAGAACACATGTGTACATATTTTGAGTTTGTTTGTGTTTCAACTTTCTTATTTCGTTCCTCGTCGTGGTTAAAATGTTAAGAGAAAAAAATAAAATGTATTCTATTATTTTATTCTGGTAAATATGTGTTTTCCAGACTTTTTTTTTTTTTTTAACCAAATGTACTTAAAGAGTTAATTTATTTGGAAATATGAACTTAAAGGACACTTATTCCATATATTCTTGTTACTTGGTAACCCAAATGAAACAATTTATTTTTCTTTGTTTTCGGTTTTCTTTGTTTTTTTCACTTGCTTGCCTTAAATTTTTCAAAAACATTTATTTAGAATCTATCATATGTTTTGAAATCAGAAGTTACATCAAAAATTATTTTTGAATCTATTATTTGAATATTAATTTATATCCAATCCAACCTACTATCATATTTTCCAATTTTTTTTTTACATCAGATTTTTCACTGTTTATCAAGGCAGCGAACTTTTTACTATTATACCAGCCTTAGTAGGAGTGAATCTGGGGTCAGTACTAGGCTCCTCTGTTATATATAATTTACACACATCATCACAGGCGGATCTAGGGGGGGGGAGGGAAGGGCTTTCCGGCTGAAGTCCTCCCCTCCCCCCCAAACGGTAAAATATAACCATGTTTTATAGAAAAAAATATTAAATACTATCTCAAAAAGTATTATTATTCGTGTAATTACATTTAATAGGACTTCAAGAATCACTTAAACACGATTTCATATAGGTAGTTAATTCCTTTCTTTTTTTTCCAAATTAATTATTATTGTATATATGAAATAAAAATCTTTCGGGCTGAAGCCCCCCCCCAAAAAAAAAAATTAAATCCTGGATCCGCTAGTGCACATCATATTCCAGACAGTGTCGATACTCTGAATGTGGCTTACGCAGACGATACAACTATTTTGAAAAACATAAAAATCCAGTATACGTTTCACAGACTCCACAATAGCACATAAACAGATTCCAAACTGGTTCAAAATTTCGAAAATTCGACTCGACCAAGACAAATCGCAACATATTACTTTTACACTTTGACGTGAAACTTGCCGAGCTATTTACCTCGACAATGTCTAAATTCCTCTGAAAGGTAAAGTTAAATATCTTGGCCTGATATTTGACGGAAGAATAACGTATGGCCCACATAACAAGAACAAAACAAAAACTCTAAACCTAAGTTTACGATTATTATACTCACTCCTTTCAATACATTCGAATTAAAAACTTGAAATTGAATACACACGCTTACTGTCATGAACCCATTCGGACATTACAGAAATACGGTACAGCCAAAAAGACCCACATACTTAAATTACAGGCTTTTCAATAAAAAACTTTCAAGACTATATCACCAAGACTCCCTGGTACGTCAGTAACAATACTTTACCCATAAACCTACAGATGCCAACAGTTAACGATAACATACGAATACATTGTAAAAGATTTCACAATAATAACTTTACAAGGACATTTCAACTCAAGAATTCAAGGCATGACCATAACCAGCATGCCCGAAATCACCCGTAGGATGCTCAAAAGAAGCGGAATGAGAAATCTGCTCCACTAACTACAAATATTAAAATCATGATAGGAAAGGAAGTTGCTCCCTCCTCTCCGCTCCCTCCCGCCTATCAAAGACTTATTATCTCTCTATATTAAAGCTACATCTCGATATCACATTCGCTAATTGTCGGAATTTCTGACAGGTGTGAGTTGAAAAATAAAGTTAAAGAAACATTTTTTGCAAAATATCATTTTTTTCTAATTGATACAAAAATAGCAATGTACCGGAAACCACTTCTTACTCCTTTCCCAAAATAGACTCTCCAAACATCTTACGATTTACTTTGTTGTTTTGAAATCTTCTTAATTGAAGGTGACCTTTCATAAAGTTGCTTTGGTCGAGATCAACTTATTTACAGTTACCTAACGTGACTTAGCGCCAATAAAACTTAGATTAACCACCTCAGACTGCTGAAATTGATATGAGAATGCCATAATAGTACCATAATGGCTTGGTTATAAACGTTTCCTTAACGAAGGTTAAAGGACACCTTAGCAAAGGTCAATAAAGGTATCCTTAACATACGACATTATAGCAGATGTCACAAGATTATAGGTCTCCTTAAAAAACGTTACCTTAGCAAAGATCGCCTAAATTAAGGTATCCTTAACATAGCTCATCTCAGCTAAGGTTACTTTAGCATGGTTCACTCAATAAACGACACTGTAGCACAACTTAATGAAGGACACCATAGTTATCTTAGGAAAGAACGTAGCCAAGGTCACCTTAATAAAGGTCTCCTTAACATGGGTTACCTTAGTAATGAACTCAGAAGTATCTTAGTAGGATACCTTAGTGAAGATTTCCTTAACAAAACTCATCTTTGTGAATGGAAGCTTTTCTAAAAAGCTAACCATAATAAAAGTAAACTTAACAAAGGTCATTTTTGACACGGGATTCTTTTTGGGACTTTATAGCAGTTAATAATGGAAGTGTAATGAGCAATTTATGAAAAATGTCATCTTTTTTTGTGTGATTAAGTCAGTATCTTTTTTTTCTGTACTATAAGGAAAATATCTTATCTAGAGCCTTTTTAATATCTTCCTCATTATTAATTAAAATATTAAGTTATCTATAGACTATTGATATTTCTCCGGAAGTAAGTAGAGAATTATTTCAAGAATCATTGTGTCGTTAAACCTCTTTACTAAGTTCCTTGTTTATATTTTTATTTATTTTTTTTTAAAGTTAAAATTTCTTTTTTAATTAAATACTAATCGTTCTGTGAAATCTATAAAATGAAATAAGCTATGGTGAAGTTGGGTGGACAGAGCGAGGTTGAGAAACTGAGCCATTGGCCGCGTTGGGCCAGCGAAGCTGAAACCTCATCCCTGCACAACCGGTTCCTCTAATGGGATTTTTTGTCCATTTAAAGCCCCACTACGGTAACCATTGTTTAGTAACTGAACTCCCGTGCTAATTATAGCTATATACCTCATAATGTACTACCAAAATTAATTTCAGACGCAAGTCATTACAAGTTCATTGTGTAAAAGTCATCCGCGAATTGTACATTGGACCGAGTTCTGATTGAAATTCTCTTTAAAGGAATGGAAATATGATATTTACTTTTATTTCAGTAAATATTTAAAAAAGGCTGCTCATTACTACTACCCAAAAGTTTATTATTTCCAAATAGGTAAATATCAATTGGCTACCAATATTGCATACCACATTGAGGAAAGTAAATAAAAGGTGTCTGCTAATATTGGCTTGTAAGCAATTTTTATTTAATTTGAATAATACTATTTTAATTATTTTTCGTTACTTGGTGAGGAGTATAGACAACAATCTCGATTGCTTGGGTTATTGTTAATCTTTTCCGAAATCAAAAAACAAAACAAAGGAGATCGGTTTTGCAGTAAAACATATCGCTATTGTTAATGCAAAAGGTCGTATGTAAAATTTTTCCATTTTTATTTTCTTTGTGCTAAAGGTGACATTTTTTATTCTGTAAATACTATAAGTAGCATGGAAAATATTATAGAAGTACTATGGAAAATATAGAGAAATAGTGAAATATGAAAATATACTTATAGATCATAAAGAATTTTTTTTTTTAGAAAATTTATTTATACAGATATATTAAAATCAAGGACATTCAAGGACAATAGTAATAGTAATAAAGAGTAGCCCATTCATACTATGCATAATAAAAATAATAAACAGCAATATAATAATACTGAAGTTAAATGTATATAAACTAAACAAAAATAAACTACCTAACAAAGTAAATACTTAAATACACACGTGGCTTTATACAATATTTATAATATTCATTCACTCAAGGTCTCCGAGCCAAGCCTTTCCCCACACTCGTGGAGGAAAATGCAGGATTCTAGGAGATCCCAGCGTCTTTCAGTCAGCCGCATCACTGGTATTACCAATGGAGACTGAGCAGATACATTATAACCAGACATACATGGCCTGAGTGGAGAATCTGGCCATTGCCAGAACTCCAATATATTCTTACTGCAAGTCTATGGGCCACTGTCCCTTTCGAGGAGGATTGTAGGGATGAGTAGTCCTATAGAGGGATTGTGCAATTGGATTAGGATGGTATGTCAGGTTGGTGGAATTCGGAAAATTTTTGAGGTATAAGGTCTAGGACAAAAGGGATATTAAGGTCGTGGTGTAGGGTTTGGTCGGTTACATAGAACGAAGCATCAACTATTGTTCGAAGGACTTTAGACTGAAAGGATTGAATGCGTTCGTTAGACAATTTTGCTGTCCCCCACACTCCCCTTACATTAGTCAAATACGTTTCAACATTGTCTTGGAGGTCAGTAGTTTGTAGTCAAATGAAGGTTGAGATTTTCTGTTCAGTAGTCTATATAGCTCGCCATATCGCCGGTTGAGTTCTTGTCTTTTGAGTGTTGTATGTGGGTTTCATGTCAGACTTCGATCTAAGAGAAAGCCAAGATACCGGACTCTGTCTAAGTAAGGAAGCTGGGTGGAATTAAAGTATACTGGTGCACACGAATTGCGTTGGAGAGTAAAGATAAAATGTTTGCATTTCGACTCATTCACTTTAATGCGCCATTTATCACACCAGTGCTCAATAAGTTAGAGGTGATTTTGTAGATTTAAGGATGCTATTTCAGGATCTGGGTTGGATGATAGGATTGCGGTGTCATCACCAAATGTGGCAAGGAAGGTACCGGAATGAGCAGGGATGTCAGCGGTAAAAAGGATGTATTCGGTCAAAAGCCTGTGCTATGTCCAGAAATGCACCCGAACATTATTGCTTGTTTTCCAGGGCTGCTGAAATATGATGAGATTTACGGAGGATTAGCTTTTGTAATTGAAATTTCACTTCGGAAGGATGAATTGCTTCAGGAGGCAATGAAAATGGGATAGGTGATGTAAGCATAAAGAAATAATCAGTTTTTATGGTCTCCTTTAAGACACAATAAACAAAATATACATTATGCTAGGTATCACATACATCTTAGAACTTATCCCCTTCTTTTATCAACAATAGAATTTTAGTGTGTCGTAGACTGTAATGAATAATAATATTTTAATTTTACAAACCTAAACAAAACATGGCAACCGTTGAATCCACCCAATATTTATTTTTTATTAGATTACCATTTGCCCGTCTCTCTAGTGGATTACGTTTATCTCGTACAAAGTAGTACATTTTTTGACTTTATAACACCAGGATGTTCTCATCCTTAATTCACATTTTCAGTAAGGAAATGTAACCCTGAAACATCCTGTGTGTATGCATATATTCAAGATAATTATTGTATTTTGTTTTTACTTAACTATAATTTCCTTTATCTTGATTGTTTATTCTTTAGTTTTGTGCATATATTATCATTCTATTACATTTTTTGTTATTTATATTCATTATTTCTGTTTCTTTTTACTCTGGGTTTAAGATATGAGTGGCAATCTACAACCAAATTATCGTCCTTGAGTGCGGCGATTATTTTACTACAAAATATTTTATCTCTCATCTCACACTATGTTGGCATGAAAAAAAAACTGAAGAAAAAGTCAGTTATGAAACTTTATTAGTCAAGTGAATCGAGCATCTCAGAAAAACAAAGATGAATACTTAATTGAAAAATATTTGCAGACTTTTTTTTAGGAGATAAATAATCGGGATTGTAGTAGCTAAAAAACGTATTTTACTAAAAATCTTCATTTTAGCTCTAAAGCCTTCTACCACGATTCTTTTGATATTTCAGATGTAACATGTTATTGTAGAAATGGTTTTGAACGTGAAATTTTGATAGCTTGAAAATAAAATATTTTATAGCTTGAAATAAATAAATATAGCTTGAAAACGAGAAATTTTGAAAATAAAGTATTGTGTAGAAAGTAGAATGTAGAAAAACAAGTATCGGACTGAAGAAGGATAAGTTTACCGGAGATTTTGTATGCAGTAGCACAGGAATTGCTTAAAGGGGAAGCAGAATATGAAAACTTGTGCCCTCTTTAAAATATCTTAACGTGTATAAATAGACAAAAAAGTTTTTAAAAAACTCCGTATACAACGAAGAAAATAATCGAAAACAAAATTTAAACTTTATAGTCACTATGTTTTTTTTTTTCTTTTCTTTGAGACGCATACTAGTTCACAAGTTAGAGCAACCATTTGTCTAGATTAATGAACTCCTGCACCAATTTCAGTAACTTTTATAAACAATATAAATGCAAGACAAATAACATATTCAGCTGCTTAATAATAAATTTAAAATTCATTATAAAAATTAAAGTTTCAAATGGGGAATCTTTTGTATGGCATTTTATCATTTAATTGTATAGATTATATCACATTTAATGATTTTCGCAGATACTAAGGCAGGCGAGACGAATATTAATGATTAATTGACAAATTAAAATTACTTATAAAATGTAATTAAAATTATTTTAAATGTAAATAACGTCCTTAACCATTCCACCAGTTAGCTTTTAGCATTTATTTTGCAAGGAAAAGCAAAATTAATTTAGGTAGCTTATGAGATAAAGATCTGACCTGCAAATATATACTTCATTAAATTGGAACTTTTCTTTAGCTTCAATTAATCTTTTAAAATAACTGTTACGGGACCAATGGATAAAACTTACTAATTAATTAAGTTTTATCCATTGGTCCCGTAACAGTTATTTTTAAAGATTAATTGAAGTTAACGAAAAGTTCCAATTCAATGAAGTATACATTTGCAGGTCAGATAAAAAAAAAAAAAAAAAAAATGTATAGCTTTGGATTGATGGGAGCTAATTTTCTTCATTTTTCAATAGAAAAAAGCAATTAAAAAAAAGTTTAATTTGTATCATCTCGTTATAAATATGTGGAAAAAACCAAAATGAGTTATTTTCAAACAATGTCTATGTAACCGGAATCTGAAACAAAAGAAATGATATCTACTTCGATTTAATACCGACTTTAATTTATCTTTAAATATTAAACATTTGTTATATCAAACGAAATCCGATTCAGCAATTGAGCAATAATCTAAAGGAAATTGTATAAACTTGAGTTATGTTTCTATTATACACCTCTTACTTATTAAAATCGGTGACAAGGAAAATATGCACATATGAAGTCTATAATTTGGAAATAAAAAATTTAGATGATTGTATCATCATATATGAGGAGAAAAGAAAATCAGTTTTAGCTCTTCATTTTTAACGCAGCATAATCTCTTATTTAGATCCTACCGTTTCGTATCATGATGGTTTTTGGTGTAGAATTATTTATGTAACTCTTACCTCATTTTTCTTTTAGCAATCTTGAATAATACAGGATGGTGTGTGAATCCATTTAGTGTGGATAACCTGTATTCAGTAGTTTATATTGCAAGTACTCCACTTTTTTGCGTGTGCCTGCGATTAAAGAAAATGTATACAAATTAGATTATGATGGCGGGAGTCTATTGTTTGAAATCAGTTTCTAACTTACGTTTCAGAAGGACAAGACTTCCTTTCTTCATTCAAGCAGTGGAAGAAAATTTAATTTCGCACAGATTTCAAGTATAGTTTTTCATTAAACAATAATTTGTTTTTATTAGTACACGATGTCATACTTTGATATATAACTTTACTATTGAAGAGAAGTTGGTTGGGATTTTCAGCCTATAAAAATACCAAGTAAAAATAAATAAATTATATATTTTTTCATTTCCTTTGTGCCAACGTTTTGGGCACTTTTCAAGTCTTCATCAGGCTCTAAGCAAAGACAAGATAACATATAAATATTAGAAAAGTATTAAGTAGACAGTGATAGTAATAATATGTAGGTAAAAAACTACAGTCAAATAATATGTAGGTAGCTAAACTTAACATTAATAAATATGTGGAATGGTAAATAT